GTATTGTCCGGGTCAATGATCCCCCCATCCAGCTTATAAAATAGGCAAAATTGATAAACCTACTGAGTTGAGTCTCAGGACTTTGCACTGCCAGATGAAACATAAGCCACATTAGACGGACTCAAAATTGGTTATGACTCGCTAACATGCACGCAAAGCCCAAGCACGCAACACATGAGCATATATATTCTGGCAATCTTTTGCCATTTCAATGCTATCGCTGCTGCCTGTATTATATCTGTTACTTTGCGGGCCGTTTCTGTAATATCAATAACGTCGTGATGCAAGTATACGTACGCGGTCTATGTTCTCAGAAACTAGATAGATAGATAGATAGATAGATAGATAGATAGATAGATAGATAGATAGATAGATAGATAGATAGATAGATAGATAGATAGATAGATAGATAGATAGATAGATAGATAGATAGATAGATAGATAGATAGATAGATAGATAGATAGATAGATAGATAGATAGATAGATAGATAGATAGATAGATAGATAGATAGATAGATAGATAGATAGATAGATAGATAGATAGATAGATAGATAGATAGATAGATAGATAGATAGATAGATAGTAGATAGATAGATAGATAGATAGATAGATAGATAGATAGATAGATAGATAGATAGATAGATAGATAGATAGATAGATAGATAGATAGATAGATAGATAGATAGATAGATAGATAGATAGATAGATAGATAGATAGATAGATAGATAGATAGATAGATAGATAGATAGATAGATAGATAGATAGATAGATAGATAGATAGATAGATAGATAGATAGCTAGATAGATAGATAGATAGATAGATAGATAGATAGATAGATAGATAGATAGATAGATAGATAGATAGATAGATAGATAGATAGATAGATAGATAGATAGCTAGATAGATAGATAGATAGATAGATAGATAGATAGATAGATAGATAGATAGATAGATAGATAGATAGATAGATAGATAGATAGATAGATAGATAGCAAAAGTTCCAACTTGGGTCACTGGGTATATCATCATCATCAGCAGCAGCAGCAGCCCGACTACGTCCACTGCAGGACAAAGGCCTCTTTCATGTTCCGCCAGTTAACCCGGTCCTGTGCTTGCTGCTGCCAATTTATACCCGCATACTTCTTAATCTTATCTGCCCACCTAATCTTCTGTCTCCCCCTAACCCGCTTCCCTTCTCTGGGAATCCAGTCAGTTACCCTTAATGACCAGCGGTTATCCTGTCTACGCGCTACATGCCCTGCCCATGTCCATTTCTTCTTCTTGATTTCAGCTATGATATCCTTAACCCCCGTTTGTCTCCTAATCCACTCTGCTCTCTTCTTGTCTCTTAAGGTTACACCTACCATTTTTCTTTCCATTGCTCGCTGCGTCGTCCTCAATTCAAGCTGAACCCTCTCTGTAAGTCTCCAGGTTTCTGCTCCGTAGCTAAGTACCGGCAAGATACAGCTGTTATATACCTTCCTCTTGAGGGATAGTGGCAATTTACCTGTCATAATTTGAGAGTGCTTGCCGAATGTGCTCCACCCCATTCTTATTCTTCTAGTTACTTCAATCTCGTGGGTCGGCTCTGCGGTTATTACCTGCCCTAAGTAGACATAGTCTTTTACAACTTCAAGTGCACTATTACCTATCTCGAAGCGCTGCTCCTTTCCGAGGTTGTTGTACATTACTTTCGTTTTCTGCAGATTAATTTTAAGACCCACCTTTCTGCTCTCCTTGTCTAACTCCGTAATCATGAGTTGCAATTCGTCCCCTGAGTTACTCAGCAATGCAATGTCATTGCTGGGTATATATGCCCCTCTAGTTGTGTATCCAAAGAAGACAGAAGTTCGTGTGATAACGGAAGTTTAAAGAGATTAAAGATCATCAAACAGGGTGATGTTACCACCGTTTCAAGACAGCGGGCCTGTCTTCGTCATGGTAGCAACTGTCGCGGTCTTGACAAACATAAGTTCACTTGTCGACATGTTGGCTGTAAGAACGTTTCCTGTGCAATAATTTTTCTTCGCCACACAAGAAATGAAAATTATTACCTATCCCCTTCCGGGACGCACTGAATGGGCGTCATCTACATTCGATGTTTTCTTCAAGCATTACACGCATACTATGCGAGAACTTGGCGCAGTGCTGGGATGACTGGGACAGTAAGCTTGCAGAAAGAAAGTAAACTAAAATATCTGATGCCAGGTACAGATCGAGCTGCCTTGGCAGCTAGCTGAAGGCGTAATGCGTAGCGCTGCTATGCTTGAGTGCGCGGGTTAGGCTATACCGGTCAAAGCGGCTGCAGTTCGACGAATGTGAAACGGGGAAAAACACCGATGTGCTTAGATTTATAAGTATACGTTAAAAGCACCGGGTGGTCTTAATTATTCCGGAGACTACCACAACGAGGAGCCTCGGCAAGCCACATCGAAATCATTTTTAAAATCAAAAACATGCCTTGAATCTTTTCAGCGTCCTATGGGTCTGATGTGACTAAACCTCGTATTGTACATTGTTGTCTCTGTTGTGTCGTGCGCACCCTAATACAGTATAGATGACGTACATCTTGGTTCACGTAAGCCCATGCACGTTACTGGCTATGAGCTCGTGAGCATTTCTTCTACGCGGCAGCGACACATCAATCAAATGTAGCTGGTTTTTCATCGAAATTCTCATTAGCTATAAGAACATCTATAACCAAGCCACGCGTGTGTTCAATCCGGTCTATATGTCAAGTCCCAAGCAGTACAAGTATTTCTGACGGAGGTAGTCACATTTTAGCTTGAGTGTTATAACTGCCTCATATACGTTAATGAACTAGAGTCTACAAGAAAACAAAACACATAACTGATACACCTATCATAGGAATCGGTTTAACACGAAAGTGAAAGACGTCTTCACGAACTTCACAGACGTAGTTAGGTGTTTATTAATGCATTGTTTTACGACAAAGCCGAAGTATTGAATCATATAGCAACAAACTATGTCACGTGAAGAACGGCGAGCGCCTGGAAACATATGGGACGTTCTTCAAGTAGAAAGCAAGTACTAAAAGAACATTCACAAGACCTTCGCGGACTAACAAGAGCCACGTGCGACCCGAAGATCTTTTTTCTTACTTCACAATAACGAATGTCATGAACAATTAAATGTCACTAAGTGTAACTAACAACTGCCATAAGCGTTACTTGTGTGTGACTAGCGCGTTGCCTTTCGCAAGCGCGGCTGCTGAATCAAGCGAAGTGACCCTACGCATTTGCAGTGGAAGCCTTAGACGTACAAACCACTCTTATTACAAAACTAGCGTGGGCGTACGAGCAACCAGGCCTTAGTTGCAAATGCGCGCTCATCGAAAGGCGCGGGACGATGACCTTTATAGCGCACCCTCCGGACCCTTCACAGCAGTGATAACAAGAAAACTCTGAAGTATCTGTATCACAGTTTACTGCTGCTCCTACTCAGAGATCAGTAACTCTGAAGTTACTGATCTCTGAGTACCAGCAGCAGTAAACTGTGATACGAATAGCTCACTCCTGGTAAACCGAAGAACGTACGCTTGCCTCTGAGTCCCTTAACGCTGCAGCAGCAAGGGGTCGTTGGTTCGACTGCAAGGGACAGATATTTTTCTTCTGGTTTTTTTTTCTTTACTACCTCTTAGTATACATTTTACAACGTCATTTCCGTGACCGAAATACATCAGTGCAGCCATGCTGGATGCAAGGCATAAAACGCTATCAGTTAAAGTAAATTAATAAAAAACACCATGATCGTATACCCATCAAAATGTCCCACGTGTTTCTTTTTCGAACTAAGTCTTCTTGTTCAATAGCATACGAAACATTGTACAGTTCAAGCGTTAGATATCGTGAAATCGGCTAGAGCGAGTACGCGTCTCTTTTAACGACCCTACAAGACGTGTGATGCGCACGCCAACATATCTCCCTGGAGCTGATCATACTGCACGGCACTTACGCGTACATTTAAAAAATAAATAAATTCGTGGAACGATGATTGGTTCATGTGTACGATCGGTTTTGAGTGAACAACGGCCATGAGTGTTTATACTTAAAGCATCATTCGGAAGCGTTGTGTACGAACCGCGAGGACATATGGCCTTTGATCAGGAGCAGTCCAACGACAAAACTTTTCCATCGATCATGCACATGTGCATACTTGGAAAACTTTGAAGACCTCGAGTCGGCATGTTTGGGATAAGTAGCAAAAAGGAGCAATCTAATCTTATCTGTCGTAGTGGTTGACGGGCTGCGAGGTTGTTTCTCTTACCTGTAGCAAAAAGCAAACAGCTCTTACGATCGAAAGAAATCCCAGCGAATCACCTAGACATCAGGGGATTTTTTTTCTCTAACTCGGATGATTCCCTGTAGAAATATAATATCACTACAACACCACTTGTAATCAGTTCTTTCATTATCACATGCAATCTCAAGTTACTGATTTAGTTGTCAAAGAAGCAGGAAGTTAGGACAATAATTCCTAAATTATATTCAGCCTGCAAAATGCAAAGTTAGTGTTAAATTCAGAAGCATTGTCAAAAGGCTGACAGCTTACCGCATAAGAATTCTGCCAGTAATGTTACAATAATGCTCGCAATGTACTTTTTTTTAGGGTTAGAGGCCGCGAATCTTTGCTTTTCACGTTACGTGATAACGAGAATTATGACGAAGAGCAAAAAGAAGTATGATTTGTGAAGGTCCTTCTCACATCATTACATGCTTGCCTTCCACTAAACGTATTTTACCTGCAAAGTGTGAACGCACCTAGATGAATTCAGATAATTAAGGCACTGAGGAAAGGCAGAGATGTTAATAGGTTTCGCATACCTGTAACTGGTATACTATGCTACCGGAGCGGGAAATATGGGGGAGATTAAAAGTAAGCAGAAAAAAGAAAACATAAATGAAAAAGAGAGAAACACAAACACACACACACACAACGTGCACAGCCCGTAAGTCTTAAGCATGCAAATGTATACCTGTGACGGCTTGATAGCGGCCCTGCACGGCAGTCCCGCAGAAGCAAAGCGTCGCCAACGCAAGCAAAGTCCAGCAACAACTTCGCCGGCAACGTCCGTCAATCATTGTCCCCTCGACCACCGGTGCAAGCATCTTCCAGCGAGAACTCATTACCGTCGCCCCGTAGCGGCTATCCCGCTGACGCATCGTTCTTTCACGCTCCGGCGACGATGCGAGTCATCTGTTGCGCGCCAAAACAACGTGACTCCAGGTCGGTGGACGGCGTTGCTTCTGCACCATAGCGCTGACAGCGGCTCGCGAACTCGGCCCGCATCGATGAGCGCCTCCGACGTAACACTGTTGCCCGGCTCGGTGTCGATCGGGAAGTTCACCGTCGGGACACGGCTGCCCGCGGGACGCCAGGGATGCGCGCGCTCGCCGCGGAAGAGCGTGCGGAAGGGCCGAGGCCACATGTGCCGCCATCTAACGAAGAAGCGGAGAACTGAGCAGTCTCGGGATAGTATTGAGCTTGGCCTACTTGGTGTCCACTGCTTCACATTTCGATCGCTAACAAATGACGAAGGCAGTGAAAGGAAACGTCTTGTTGTTCCTTCCAGTAACAGTTTTTTGCAGTTTCAAGCGCTAAAACCATGATATATTTCTGAGAAACGCCGTAGGAAAGGGATCCCAAAATTTTGACCCTCTTGCGTTCGTCTACGTGTACCTAAATCGAAGTACTCGAGCCTCTAGCATTTCACTTCCATCAAAATACGGCCGGGATAAGATTCGACGAAGTTCAGATCGAGTACCATAACTTCTTGGCCACCATAGTGGGTTTGTAAGAGGTCAAGATTTCAAACGTAGAAGTCATGTTTCTTCTATGCAGTTACACTTAGTCATTTTGCCGCTAGACATTTTTTTTTTTTTACGGCTTCACGTATTTTATGTGTATACATCATTGTGCCCATATCAGCGAAATACAGGTATGGTCTTTTGTTCAGAACTGCAACGATTTGTTTAAGATTGCATAAATAAAATAAGCGAAATAAGTGTATGAGTCTCGCGGCACCTCGTAAGTGAGTTGCGCGAAGTTTCCTCGTCAGAATGACTTCCACCAAAAAGTTGAGACCAGTTCCCGCGCCCCGATAGTGACGTTTTGCAGATGGCCACTGACCTACCTTCGATCAGACTGGTCTTACTGCCAAATGCTGGTTTACTGTCTGCGCATCGGTATCACTGATAACCACCATTAGGTCTCTATCCTGTTTAACTATATAAAGAACATACTTGCACTTTGATTTGCAGCTTGTAATCCGAGGCCTATATGGCTTAAGAAGCTTAATTAAGCCGCACTCGGCGTACTACTTGTTATTCGAAGTAGCAGTTGGAGGCATCAAATAATCGTTGTGTTCGGTGGTACCCGCCATAAATCTTTGTTAAAATATGGTTCTTCTTTCCATTCAAACAACCACATTGGGTTTGTCCAGCTGGCTTTGATTAGAGTTGCAGCAATCACCCGCATGTGGCTCACATGCGATCGACGTTTATTCAATATAATATCTACTGTTCATCAAAGGACCTTTTTCACGGTAGCATAGGAGATCAGTAGAATTCAGATTTATAGGCACCGTATAATCGGGTTTTAAGCGCCAAAAACAGGGAGTCAAAATGCATTTTTAGGTTCCCAAAATCATAAATATAGGTAAAATAACTTTTTACAAAAAATGCAGATTTTCGAAGAAGTATGTGTGGAACCTCTGTCTACAGATAGGGTTTTATTCTAGACACTGTCAAACTGCGCCATGTTTCCACATTCCACGATTTATAGATGCTGATTGGCCCAGTGGACTGCTACGACCTCTTTGAATGGCATAAAATGCCGCCATTACGAAATTTGACCATATTGTGGAATAAGTGTCCAGAATACGCTCCAGGAAAGCAAAAAAAAAAAGGTTTAATTTATGAAGGTACAAAGGTGCCAATGATTTAGCATAGCCATGCAGTTTTTTTTGCCTTGGTTTTGCGCAGCACGGTCCCTCCCTTTATTGTTTAGTTAAAGGGCTCCTCACCAGGCTTGAACGTATCGAGCAGGCTAGGTAAATGCGTCCACTTGGCACTCACAATCTTGTCTGTTAAGATTTGCAACGCTACGCGCCCCGAAAAGGTTAAATGTCAGACTGACCACCACTTGCCCTGAACTCACGGGCACGCGCCCCAACATGGCGGAGGTTCACGTCTACAGCAAGGAATGTTCTTGTGTTAACGCCACAGTACGTGGCACTGCGAGAATTATTCGAGGCGACATGCGCAATTTGTGCAGTCTGTTGCTTGAATAGAAGTACGAGATTAACAGACTGTGCACGCCTTATATTTTTTCTTAACTTCTTATCGAGCGAGATGCGCGAATAAGCTGGCTCTATATCGCTTGCGTTCTAGCCGTTCTCTAATGTGCCTTTAATCCCCTCACCCCTTCCCCCAGTGCAGGGTAGCAAACCGGACGTGCGTCTTGTTGACCTCCCTGCCTTTCATTTCTTCCCTTCCTCCTTCTCCTCCTCTAATGTGCCGCTGCCAGCCCGCTTCGCGTGTTTTTGATGCATCGTCCTTTAGAGCAGTTCCAATGACGCGACGCTGAGTATATCGTGGTAAGGATACACGATTCATGCCTGTCGCTCCAAGCGTGCGTGCATAGACGCATCCATCCTACAGAAACAGGCTGTACAATATAGAGAACGCTAAAACGCCACAACACAGCTTGCGTGCGCGATCTGGCTTGGGCATCTCATGCGCTTGTAACCTTGCTTGCCCACGACGCGTTGATGCGTCTGCGTCATGAGGTCTTCCCGCTCCGAGTTGCTCCGACACCGAAGAGGGCAAGGGAGAAATTTCGCTTGCGAAGTCTACACCGGGCGAGTGGCAAAGATTCCCAGCTCATCTCATCGCATCATATTCTCGCGACTCGTAATTAACCAACTGAAAAAACTGTTGTGGCAGAAAGTTTTTCATTCGGAACGCAGCAACTTGCACTGCGTAACTTAATGTTTCTCATGTGACCTGGTAAAGTGCTCTTCAAGAAGGAAATGAGCAACAAAACAAAAATCATGTGGACATCTTATTTTTTTTTACCTGCCCTATACTTTACCCTGATGGCACTCGAGAGTTTCACATTCGTTCTCCATCGTCCTGCGGCTGCACATGCAGAAGCACTTCCCGTTTCCCCGCGCGTGCGAGCAGACGCCCGAGAGATGCCGAATAGATGATGCGACGTGGATGAATACATGTGTTGGGGCTAACTGGCCTTCTCATTGGCTGAAGGGTTTTGTAACCTTTACCGCGCTGAAAGGAGGGCACCATCCTTACAGCACTGTCTCGATTTTGCCCGGTAACATGAATACCGCTATCCAAAGGACTCGAAAAAAAATTAGGTTAAAATACGTTCATATAGACACCAATTTTCAAAATAGCCATTTATAGGCACATAGAGGAATTTAGGCATAAACGTAAAAGCAATATAATAGCCCTTTTAAACATCTCATTTATGCGCTTATATATCAAAGTGGCCCGACAGGAACGCAAGAAAGAAAATAGGTATTTGCCTATATAAGCTGGTCTTTAATGATCAGTGTCATAAACGCTATGTGCAGAAAAAAAATTTGATCAGGATGCCTCGAACTTCGCGGACTCAGGCATACCACTTGTTAACAGCGAAGGAAGTGTGTAACACGTGCTTTCGCGGGTGGAGCCTGGTCACATGAGAAAAAAAAAGAGGGGGTAGGGGCATGTGGCAATCCTTAGCGTGTTTAAATTGATATAAGTTAACGTCTCAAAAAAACAATACGATTGTGAGTGAGAGCTGCGAAAATTTTGATATGTTGTGGTTCTTGGACGTGCACCTAAATCTAAGTACGCGGTCATCGGGCATTTTTCTTCTTGGATGTTAAGAAACGTCCGACATTGTCTAGATTACTTGGATATCTTTTGTGAAAATACAGGACTACCGAATCAAGCATGCTCTACATACGAACACTGCTTTGACAACGATGCCGTAGGCTTTTATTAGAATAGCTGCAAACATGTCTGCATCATGTGGAACGCCCTTCCAAGATTCAACCCTCTGCCGTTGAAAGTCGCGCAGGCGAAGACCATGCTGAAATATTTGCCCCAAAAAGCCATGCGTGCCAATTTTTTTTTTGTAATCGTTTCTTTTCATTTCAGATATCTGCAAATAGAAAAAATAAGACGTGCTGAAACACTCCAACACAACGTTTTGTTCGAACAATGCAGTCTGCTCTAAGTAACAGATGAACAGGACGCAAAAGTGAGTGGGTATATCGGTGCGGAATACTTCCACGCACCACTTAAAATGAATATACTATACGTAATCAGCCACGGTACACGAGCACGAAACAATAATTTGATATGGTAACCGTGCGGCTAAATTTAAGCCTACGAGTGGTTTTGCATTCTTGCATGAAAATTGGTCCACTGTGTTCAGGAACCAGATCTACGTCCACATTTTGAGCAGCGCGGCGCCGCTAAGCTAATACGGTGGGGGGATAATTTACACAGATACCAAATAAGCGTATAGCTTAAGTAAAATGAAAACTCAATCATACATACGGCACAGTGAAACGCGTATATCGGTGCTACTCATTTATGTGATACTTTGCGCGAGCTGGTAAAAGTTAAGGAAAGCAGACTACGAGTGAAATAGCGAAACGCATTAGCTTTTTTGTAGAGCACAAAACTTGTGGCATCGCTCAGAAACGTGTTAGTGGCGGCTGGTTAAGATCACAGGTTACCCCTTTCAAGTCAAAGTTCGTTAAAATTTGAAGTCTGCGAGGTGAAATACGCACCCTATAGAGCGATAACGTCCTTACGCGAAAATTAGGACAATTATCGTTAGAACATGACTTTAATAACACTTACGTGGGGTCACAGGTCATCCGTCAGGGCAAACTCATGGCCTAACCTTGGACGCAGTGCGAGCCTCCGCAGCCTTTTGGACGGCAGACTAGACCTTTGGCTTCGCATTCTTCGTCCGTGCACTCTTCGTAGATGCAGTCGCTCCTCTCGGCCCTTGCTTTTGCCGACAGCGCCCACACGCTGCCAGAAAACACGCATGCGGACGCCAGCAGGATGACGCAGAGAACGGATGTATTCATGTTGACGGTGGATTCGAGTCAACTGAGGCGCACGGCAGTTGCCTGGCAGACAGCGCACTATAACGTCGAAACTCGTGCCTCATGCACACCTGGCTGAACGCCTTTTATTGGCTGGCTCACTGGAATTTTTTTTTGTCAACCTTCTTGTTCGGCACAGCGCAGCTTCTGCTTATCGAAACATGTTCGTATATATTTGATGCGTTTCCACACACGCTGACTCACTCACAAAAATGGGATGCATGAACCGTTGTTTTGATTACGACGCTTCCTTTGAACATAGCTGTACACTGAGGCGGAAGTTACTGCAAGAACGAAGCAATGAAAGCAGAGCACGTGGCTGCAATAAAGTGCTGCGACCCGGCACAGAAACCGAGCATATTCAGAACAGAAAAACACAGGATAATCTATGCGTATCGTTTCCTGGTTGTGGCGATGGTGAAATGAAGCCAAGGCGATTCAACGTGCTGCTGCTGCTGATGTTCCAGTCAAAAGGCTTGGTTCGAGTAACTCAGCGTCAATACATACACACATATTGCACATTTTCTATGCATGATTGCAGCGAAAGTAAGTAAGAGAAGTTGGCCAAACCGATACAGTAATAATATCTTGGGCTTAACGTCCCAAAACCATGTTATGATTACTATGAGAGGTGCCTTGGTGAAGAACTCCGGAAATATTCGACCATATGGTGTTCTTTGCCGTCCGCTGACATCGCACAGCAAACGGGCCTCATTTCGCCGGCATCCCAAATGTGACTGCCGCGGCAGGAGTCGAACCCACCACCTTCGGGTCAGTAGCTGTGCACCTTAACCTCTCATGCACCATACCGATAGAAAAATAAAATGGCTGTAACGTATATATGAATACTGCATGATTATATAGGTGTTACCAATGAATAAAAAGGAAATGGTTTTAAATAAAAAGAAATTCACTTTAAATGCAACAAACTACAAATAAATGACTTGAGCAGCAGTTGAAAGAACGCAGAAATCAATTCAGTCTCACTTGAAAACTTGTGCATGGATGTTCTCAATATTTTTTTTTCCTTTTTTGCCGTTAGTACCACTAAAGACCAATACGGACAACATATTGCCAAATATCAAGCCACAGACGTCAGAGATATCCTCCTGTGTTTCCCATTCCGAGTCCTTCCCAATCAAGTCATTTGAATACTTCTATCGGTGCAGTGAACAACAATAAAGAGTGGTCACTTCTTTCTTGTTTATCTCCTCGTTACTATTTCAGTGTTTTCATTTTCTTTTTATATTTTTTTCCCTTTAGATAATCCAGTTATCTGTGACGTCTGCAATGTCGCCTAAGATGTTTAGCGAAGTTGTTCAATGTGACATTTTCGCATTCGTTAATTGTTGCACATAAGCTGGATCTTCAAGTGAATGGTTGTTAGATTCCTGAGCCATCTATGCCTGTCTAACAACATGTGAGGTTTTATCGTGATCTAAGGTCATAAAATGAAGCTCATGCACCATTCGGGACACCACTATGCGGCTTCAATCCAACACCGAAGACTGAAACGAAATATGCTGAAAACCACGTATTGTTTCACATTAGGCTTTTCCGTGCACTTTGTTATAATTCTGCATGCGATTCCACAATATTTCCAGAAAAAAAAAAGTTAGGAGTTTTGCGGCACAGTTTGAGCACGTTGTTTCTGCGACTTCTCCTGGTACTTCGGCCCCACGCAAGCTCAAAGCATTGCGCGAGTAGCAACGCCAAAAACGAAGTTATCAATTTATTGCAACGAGACGACCGCACTTATTTAGGACAGCTGCCACGCACAGCAGCTGTTATCCTGATCTGAAGATATGTTTCGTCACGTGGCGGCGATGATGATGGCCATGGCGTTTTGGTTAACATAACATTGCTAGTCACGCGTAATATCTACGTGGTTCAGGCTTGGCCACACTACTGTGCGCCAAATTTATGAAGGCGTGCCTTATATTTCGTGAAATAGAAAACGACTTGGGTTTTAAAATATCTAATTCTGAGAGCAACAGCAAAAGGACGCAAGGCGCGTTGTGCGACAGCCAACGTTAGCATTGCTGTATATGCTATCTTTAGATAAAGGAGCCATATACAGTAACTCCAGCCACCATGAAGTGAGTCTGCTGGTATGTCTCAAAAAGCGGCGCACGGAAAATGAAATCAACCAATGATTGATTGATTGATATGTGGGGTTAAACGTCCCAAAACCACCATGTGATTCTGAGAGATGCCGTGGTGAAGGGCTCCAGAAATTTCGACAAGGTAGGCTTCTTCAACGTGCACCCAAATCTGAGCACACGGGCATACAACATTTCCGCCTCAATAGGAAATGCCACCGCCGCAGCCGGGATTCGATCCCGCGACCTGCGGGTCAGCAGCCGAGTACCTTATCTACTAGACCACCCTGGCGGGGCAAATAAACCAATGAAGTCAGCGGTGGAGTGAAATGTGAAAAGAGATTTTTTTTCTCTTCTTCTGCTGATGCTTTGAAATGTACATACAGTGAACCAATTTTTTATTATTATTTTGGGGGGTACCTGAAGTTATTATCAACACTACAAAAACTTCAGTGCTTCCGAAGGCAGACCAAGGAACGTTGCAAGGCCATTTTAAACCTTGCTGATAAGCTTGAATGTGTACAAAAATAAGCCCACGACAACTAAGATTTTAATTACAAATGCTTCAGACGTCACAGAAATGTATTTTACCTGAACCTGCACTCAACGAAAGATATGCCCCGCCGCGGTGGTTTAGTGGCTAAGGTACTCTGCTGTTGACCCGCAGGTTGCGGGATCGAATCCCGGCTGCGGCAGCTGCATTTCCGATGGAGGCATAAATGTTGTAGGCTCGTGTGCTCAGATTTGGGAGCACGTTAGAGAACCCCAGGTGGTCGAAATTTCCGGAGCCCTCCACTACGGCGTCTCTCATAATCATATGGTGGTTTCGGGACGTTAACCCCATATAATATTCAACTATCAACTAAAAATAATTAACAACAAAATTTATAAAATAAATGATGCAACGTTCAATTGCGAATGAGGGAATAATTGAAAAGTATCAGGTGTTTAGGAGCTTCAGACTAATTTTCGGTAAAGCCAGGTTTCTGAAAAAACCTGGTAATTTTAAACTACTGAACTGCAGCGGCGGTAAAGTACGGCCGCGAATCGTGTCATCTTTGGCTCGTGTGCACCCTCTTTAGTGATACCAAAAACTCACTCTGTGGTTTATAAAGTTTACATTTGCCAATGAATGGCGACACAAGCTCTAATGCATTTGTTTGTTTTTTTAGAGAAACGCTAGAAGAGGATTCGCATCCCTCTGTGCAGTAATAATGATATGTTTGAACATCAAGTGCTTGTTAAAGGTTCCACAATCTCTGAATACTTAGTTCAACTCGAACAATGACATGTCTACATCACACCGTGTAAAGGCCGATAATATACAGTTTTAGTTAAGCACGCAACACCTAAGGAACACAACGCACGGCGCGTTATAGGTACGTAACAGCTGAGACTGTCGCGCACAGCGTTATATAGTTTGCCTTACGCAACAACCGAAACGTGAAGTGCGCTTCGGCGTAAGCAGCCTTGAATTTGAGTGCAGCTCTGCGTCATCTATAGGTGAGAAAATTAACTGCAGCAGCCGATAAACGCATTCCTCCATGGACGGACGCGGCCTACTTTTATTCGCAGCAGTCATGCCGTCGACGCTCGCCGCTGTAGAGATCTCGCGAGACATCCACCGGTACGGTACGCAATGACCGTAGCGGAGGCGACGTAAGCGCCGATATCTATAGCGTGTGCATCTCTTGCGCACGCAAACGCACGCATCACTCTTAGGTTCAGCGCATGCGCAGTCTTGCTCTCCTTCGCCCGTTGCGTGCGCAACGCCGCAGGCTAAATTAAACTGCTCTATTATCCTTATTTAAATCTTGTCCACAGGCGCTTGCTTCAATTTTCCTCCAAACAAAACTTAATTGCATACGGCGGCATTATTTTATTTAGAACAATACAGAAGCGAGCCATGTGACGAAATGAAGTCTTTTGGACGGATGCGTCAAGCGGTGCACTAAAAAATATTATAAATGTATTTTTCCGACAGAATAAATTTTCAGTTGGCCTAAAGCCGACAAAAGCAATCTTTAGTGTACCTATAGAAGCGAAGCTACTTCGTAATTTAGTTAATCGTGTACAGGTTGTTCTGTCAAAACAAGACGGAGAAAGATCGCTTCTTGTGTTGTTCTTACTGTTTTACCTTTATATACATCAGCGGTTCGTTACCTCCGGATGGGATGAAAGGACTTAATAAGAAGTTTTTTCTGGGCTACTTAGTGTACACTTTACACTCAACATCTTCATTTTTGGTGCGAAAGACCACGGGATAGAATGAGAGCTGTCGATTCATATTAGGCGTTCATCTTGTTTACATTCGATTTGTTGACAATTTTCGGAGCCAAAACTTTCATTGATATAATACCGTCTTCCATAGTACGTCCAGAGCAGTGAGTAATTCTGCAAGAAAAAAAAGAACAAAAAAATTGAGCACTGCAGAACAATGTAGGCTACGTTCGGAACTGTAACGTGCTCCAGAAAATCACAAATGACAGTTCAGCCTTTGCCATTTTCTACTGTTCTAACGAATATTTCAGAAGGATATTTTGCTGGTAGAGTTGGTAATATTCCATTATTAAAGATAGCATTCCTTTTCTGCGTCTTTAGCACTACGTTTATTAACGAATATCTCGCTCCCTAAAGTGTCCCTGAAATTTTCAGTTTAAACTGGACAATCATAAGTACCGTTATTTGAGCGAACGATATTGTATCGCGTGAGCTACAGAAGTCGAAAACTATCCTACTCTTTGGTGATGCATTTTTTGTCTCGTTTTCACCGAGTGACCTTCCGCAACTGTTCACCGGCGTGTGCTAGATCGCGGAGTCCACGCAGAGCGTTCGGTTGGTTCGTGACTACGTCACCAGGCGCCGCCACAAACCCGGTTGTCCACGTGACATGCTCGGAAACTTCACGTTATTTTTTTTTCTCACGGCACACTTGATTTTCTTTCCCTATATCTAGGGCAAATGATTGGACGCTGTCTTT